CACGGTGATAGCATAAGCGAACCTCACCATCAAGGAGGGGATTGTTGGGGTAGCTTGTCACATTTAGTTTTAGTCTCTCCTGCTTGGGTCCATATACATATGCATTTGATCCGGCCTAAGTTTATTCTAGTGTAAGCCCTTTTGGGCAGGTGTCTACACATGTGGGGATTAGGGAGACTATTTGCTGCTCTTTGCACCAAGGTTCCTGAAGCCCTGCAATGGGCCCCTGCTGCCACCGGGGGGAGCTCTAGGTTCCGGATGCAGCTGTCAGCACCCAGCAGTCATCTTTAAAAGCCAGCTCCCCTTCCTTGCCCAAAGGGCAGCAAGCCCAGCACAGAGGCAGCACGTGGCAACTTCTCCTCGGCTACGCTGCCTCCCTGTGCTATGGCTGCTCCAGCCCCTGCCCCAAGGCCACCGCTGCACAGCTACCACCAGCAGGGATGCCAATGAGAGGCTCCAGGATGCCACTGCTGGGGCTACCATCACCTGCCTGGGCCTCCAGCCCTGCCGTTTCTGGGCCTGCTGCACCAGGACTGGTGGTGGCACATCGCCTGGCAGACCTGGGATGATGAGCGGTGGCTGGACGTAGTCTGGCTGACCCGGGCCACCTTCCAGGACCTCCTGCAGCAGCTCTGGCCCCACCTGGAGTGGCAGGACACTGACGTTCACCCAGCCCTCCCTGTGGACACTTGGCTGACCCTCATCCTGTTGAAGCTGGCCACACCTGCCAGCCTCCATTACATTGGATATCTGGTTGGCATGGGCAAGGCCACCACTGGGGAGGCCATCGTGGAGGTGTGTGGTGCCCTCCAGGGTGTGCTGGGGGACACTGTTCCATGTCCATGACCCTCTGGTGATGGTGGAAGGGTTACATGCCCTGGGATTCCCCCAGTGCATTGGGGCCCTGGATGGGATCCACATCCCTGTCACCTGCCCACCCCATAGAGACTGCCCCACTACAGCTGCAGGGAATTTCACTCCATGATCCTCCAGGCCCTCGTGGACCACCGCAGCACATTCATGCACATGAGTGCTGGCTGGGCAGCAGTGCCCATGATAGCCGTATCTTTAGGAACTCCTGCCTTCCAGGCCTGGTGGAGAGTGGGTGCTTCATGCCAGGGGTGCCAGGCCTGCAGCTGGGCACAATCGTGGTCCTGCCTCTGCTTATCAGGGAACCTGGCTAGCTGCTCCTGCCCTGGCACATACTTCTTCCTGCCCGGTGCACCCTCACACCTCACGCTTGCATTTGGAAGTAGCAAATTTAAGTGGAATTAAGGGCTTTTACTGTGCAGTAAGCACATGCACGTATGCAGTAAGCGCATGCTTACTGTGCAATAACACATCTCGTGTAGACATGCCCCTTGAGTGGTGAATTATAGTATTATTTAAACTTTTATTTTATATTCAGCCTTACTTAGCCATTGCTTAAGGTTTTTGTATGACATTATTATTTGAATTTTTCTTTTGCATTTTGTATCTGCACTATCAGCTATAGCCTCGAGCTAGCTTTCACAGGGAGCTTATGTTCCAGCGTTATCAACATAAGTGTGTATTTTGTGAGCCTTGTTACTAGCTCAGATTAACTGAACTTGGCACTAACCAACTAAATCAGAAGGATGACATTATTGGGTATATTAATGAAGGTTGATAACAGGGAACCGACTGGACAGTGCCTATCTGCAGAACCCTTGGAATTTCTAGTTTTGATGGACAGACCAAATTAGGAGTCCAGGGCATGCCCAAATTAAGAGACCAGCTTAAGATGTGTACATGTAATGGGTTTATTGGACTAGAGGAATATGGTGACAGGACAAAAACATGAACAGTAGGGCTGTGCGAAACAGCATCATTCCAGTTCAACTTCCATTTCAACGATTCAATGAAACAATGTTTCCATTTCAAGTTCTGTTTCATTTCAAAAGCACTGTTCCATTTCGTTGAAACTCTTTTGCTGTTTCGACGCTGTTTCAATGTTTCCCATAGGTTATTATAGGGAAACATAAAATGCAGCAGGCAGGCAGATCGGGGTCTTGCCCTCACCCCCGGGATGGCTGCCGGGGCTGCACCAGAGTCCTCCCGGGGGTGTGAGCCCCAATCTGCCTGCCAGATGAGAGAAGCCAGGTGCTGACACCTGGGACCAGCTCCAGGAAGACTGCTGTTGCCACCGGTCCCAGGAGGCAGCACCCAGCTCCTGTCACCTGGCAGGCAGATCGGGGGCATGCACCCCCGGGGGGACTCCGACACAGCCCCTGCAGCCTTCCTGGGGGTGCCGGTGGGCCCCCAATCTGCCTGCCACCTGACAGGAGCCGGGTGCTGCCGCCTGGGGCCAGCGGGGCTGGGGCAGATCAGCTTGTGCAGGGACCCACTGCCCTGATTCCAGGGCAGGGGAGGGTCCCCGCAGCAGCTGCTCTGCCCCAGCCCTGCTGGCCCCAGGCAGCAGGGTGCGTGCCCCCGATCTGCCTGCCAGATAGGAGCTGGGTGCTGCCAGCTGGGGCCAGCAGCAACCCCGATATTCCCAGCACTGGGTGCGGGCTGCACCCAGCACTGGTCCATTACCTGGCAGGCAGATTGGGGGCCAGCACCCCTGGGAGGGCTCTGGCACAGCCCCCACAGCCCTCCCAGCAGTGTGGGGAGCCCCTGATCTGCCTTCCAAATGACAGGAGGTGGCTGCTGCTGGCTGGGACTGGCGCTAAAGCCAGTAAGCCTGGCTTCGAAACTCAAATCTTTTGAAATGTTTTGAGTTTCCTTGTTTCATTTCAAAGGCTTTTGTTTTGTTTCGGTTTCACTGTTTTGAGCTCGAAACGCATCAAAACAGCTTCGAAATGAAACACCAGACAAAATTTTGCACAGCCCCAATGAACAGTATGATGATTACAGGGAAACCAATCAATGGTACCCAGAAATGAAGAGTCATCAGAGGAGTAAAGTTAAAGAAAAAGCATAAAAGGGGGGCAACAAGAAAGTTGGGTGTGTCATCGTCCAACAACATCTGGACTGAAAAACAGCCAAAAAGACTACCCATATATGACCACCTTGTACTTTCAGGAACTGATTGGCCACCTTTTCTGTGAACTGGAGTAACATCGGGATTGGGTGAGACCATTGGACTGTTTTTCTCTCTCTCTATTAGAAACTTATTAATACATTAAATATATTAATAAAGTTAGATTTTAGTTAAGTTGAATGGTGTGAGGTGTATTCCATGATCACTCAGGGTTGATTATGCTTTAGTGATCCGTTAGCACCATGGGTGTATAACAGGTTGCTTAAGAGGGGGAGCATAGTATGCTTTCATCTCAGGAAAAGTAAAGGTACCAGGCTAGATACTTTCAGGGTGTGCCCTCAGAAAGACTACAATGAGACTAGAAGTACAGCTAGACTAAGATATGATGTATGAGAGTTACGTCTCCTGGGTCTTAGCTGTATTGCTGATTTCTTGTGTGACCTTGTACAAGCCCTATGCAATAAAAATCCTAACATGGTGCAGAAGAATCATATACAGGGCCTGATGTAATATTCACTAAAACAGAGTCCTTCCATGGATTCCAGTGTCTTTTTTATCAGGGTCCAAATTACTAAAATTATCTTCCAGATACTTTATATCCAAGACTCTTCCTTATGCCCCTGTACCTTTCCCAATCTTTTTTTAAATATTCAAAACTACTTTTAAAAATCTGGTGTTGGGTATTGCCCCAAGTGATCTTATATACCTACATTCAGTTTATCTTTTTGTAACTGTCACAGAGCACTGAGGTGCCCTGTGCCTGAAGAGGGGAAAACTGCTAGGGAAGGAGCCCTAGCAGTGACTAAGGAGCACAGCTGTGGGTTGCTGGGGCAACCAGGGAAGGTCAGCTGACCAGAAGGGGCAGGGCTTGACCCTTATAAAGCCCAGGAGCAGAGGCCTGAGGCAGTTCCCTGCCAGCAGCCAGAGAGGCAGGAGCTCTCTAAGCCAGGGTGCAGGAAGAAGCCTGACTGCAGGTACAGCGTATGACAGCTCTAAGATGCCTGAGCAATGTTGTTTTAGCCAGGCGGCTTCAATTTATGTTACAGCCCAGGGGCTTGTGTTTTTTTGTTTGTTATACTGGTGGTTTGGGTGAGGCTATCAGGGGATGGAGGAGGCCTCATAGGGGACTCACAGCAGAGTGTGAGGACCCCAGTGCCAGTGGATGCAGCACACAGGGTGCGTAGACCCCAGCCCCAGAGAGGGGCGTTTGAGAAGCCCCAGTGCAGGCATGGCGAGCCCCTGAGATGGGAGTGCTATTGAGATGCCCCAGTGCGGGCATGGCGAGCCCCCAAGAGGGGGGCCACATTATTGAGAAGCCCAAGTTGGGAACGGAGAGCCCCAGAGAAGGGGGGGGGGGGGCAGCATTTTTAAGAAGCCCAAGTTGAGCACGGTGAGCCCCAGAAAGGGGGCAGCATTATTAGGAAGCCCGAGTGTGGGCACTGGGAGCCCCAGATGGGCTTCCCAATAATGTGGCCCCCTAAG